TTAGTAGAATTGTCACTTGGTTGGTACGATCTGCTTAGAAATGAGTAGACATTGTCGCCTACGCTTCCTCAACATTGAAGAGAATCCATTTATGTGGTTTCATATTAGACTGAATTTAATAAATGTCAAGATTTACTACTCAAATTAGGAAATCAACAAAGAAAATTTTGACATTTGGTAAACAACAAAAGGGTACCGAAAAAATCGACGGTGCTAAAAAAACAAAACTCGTTTTCTTTCTCCAGCGCGTGGCTGAAACATGAGCGATGTGATAAAGCAACGGTGTGACGTGAGCTAACGTGAGCAAGTTGCTAGAGAGATAATATAAAAGTATTTATGGCATCTCCAACCCATCTCTATTTTTTTTCTCACCAACCCACCTCTATTTTCATCTAAAAAATAGAGATTGCTATTTTTTACTTTATATAGAGAGAAAAAATTGGTAAATACTATATTTTACTCTAGAGAAAATATAGCAATCCTCTAAAATAGAGTATACATTGGAGAGAAAAATACACGGGAATTTGTCTTAGGATTTAATATTAGTTAGGTAAAGTTTTGAGCACGAATCTGAAATTTTGAAGAATAACCTAATGTTTTAGCATCAAATAGATATAAGTTCCACAGACGATATATCACTACCAGAAAACACAGTTTTAGCATCGGCAAAATTCGATACTAAATCGACGCTAAACTGTCGACGCTAAACCGACTTCGACGCTAATTTAGCGTCGGATTACTTTCGACGCTAACTGGATGCTACATGTCGATGCTAATTCGATGCTAAAATGACGTTATATTAGCGTCGATTTAGCATCGACATAAGACGGATCCGATGCTAAATCTACGCTATTTTAGCGTCGAAAAAATCGACGCTAAAACGATGCTATATTTCGATGCTAATTCGACGCTAATTTAGTTTCGAAATAGCATCGATTGTTTTCGACGCTAATATAACGTCGATTTAGCATCGGATCCGTCTTATGTCGATGCTAAATCGACACTAATATAACGTCATTTTAGCATCGAATTAGTATCGAACTGTATGATTTTTTTTTTAAAAAAAATATTTGTAAATGAAAATATTTTTAATAAATTTCAAGTTTTTTAAAAAATTAGAAAATTTTATATATAAATGCGAAAATAAAAACA